CACATAAACCAACAATGTAAAACACTTATATTAAATATTTAAGTATCATAATGCCAAAATCCATAAAAATAAATAATTCTTATTATATAAAATTGTCCACCAAGTCCACTAATTTAATCCACTAACAAAATCATAATCCAAGTATTTAAATCATAGTCATACTCTTGACACTCCCACAAGTAAAAACCCCGCGCAACTCTACTCCTCAGAATCTGGAAAAAAATAAAATAAGGGTAAGGTAGACAGCCTAGTAAACAACTAACGATCACTGCTAGCTGGATCAAGTATACAAAAAAAAATAGTCGATAACCAATAAATATAGTTTTGCTACAATTCAATAAATAAACAATTATTTTGTAAGATGGTTTTATAGTTGAAAATAAATAGAGTAGCTATACATTCTAGTTGAAAAGACAATGAGATAATTCGAAGAAATTTCGTTGTTCAAATCGATGGTTCAATATTCAGATGGTTCAATGATGCGATTCACAAAACTCAAGTTTTGGTGACTACGGTCACTTAGCCCATGACAAGGCTCAAAACCACACATAGGCCGATGGTAAAGCCAAAAAAAAAAAACTAGTTTCTGTGCCAATAAATAACCCCCATTGGCTAGGGTCCAAATCATAGTCAGATTAGAGTGATGTTCAGAATTCTAACAATACACAACTTTTAAATAACATATTCGATATTTTCAAAATAAACATTTGGTACAATTTTCAGAATAGTTTCACAAAATATTCAAATAATTTTCGTAATAATATCCGATGTTGTTTTATACTTGGCCCATATTTTATTTTAAGAGAATAGGAAGGCTATAAATAAATATTTATTATTTTAAACGATTTCATAGGAATAAAAATGAACCAACAATGATAGAAGGTTACTTACCTCAAACAGCTAAAATAATATTTCCCAAGCTAATCTCAAATTACCAAGATCTACCTCAATCTCACAAACCTAATAAAATATTACACCGCATAAACAATTATTATTTGCACCCATCCTTCTTTTCTTCTAACAACAATAGAATAAATTAATCCGATAGTCTACTAAAAGCTCCCATAAATTATTTGCACCCATCCTCCTCCTTCCCCATTTTCTTTTTCCCCTTCTTTTCTTTTACTTTTTCAAACCCTTGAGAAACAGCCTCCAAACCCTCCACAGCGATTCTGAGCCTCTGTTTCGTTTTTTTTTTTTTTTTTCTCCTAGACTAAAAGCCACGGCATGTTGGCTTATTTAACCTAATTTTTTTTTTCAAAATTGCAAAATTACCCAACTAAGTTATAGAAATTATAATGTCATCTCATAACTAATTTCTTGATATTACTAAATGACCTATATAAATTAATTTAATTACCAATTTATCCAATAAAATAATTCTGCACATAACTTGGGTTTTACAGTTGGGGTGGGTGAAGATGTCATGGTGTGGAATGGGGTGGGGACAAAGGGACAGTTCACTGTAGCGTCATTTTATTCAGGGTTGAGGGGGGATGGTGGTCGGGTCTTTCCTTGGACTAGTGTTCGGGTTCCGGGGGTTCCGACTAAGGTTGTTTTTTTCATGTGGACGGCTGTCTTAGGTCGGAACTTCACATTGGATAATTTGATGCGGCGGGGGCATATCCTAGTGAATTGGTGTTGTATGTGCTGTGAGGATGCAGAGACAGTGGATCATTTGTTTCTTCATTATTTGCTGGTGTCGTATTTACGGGGCTTCGTCTGTTCACTCCTTGGGGTTGCTTGGGTTCAGTCCCAGGGGGTGTTGGATTTCCTTTGGGCTTGGCGAGGTGTTTGTCTCAGGTGGCAGCGTCGGCAGTGGCCTTGGCTATTGGCCCCATTCTGTTTCATGTGGCTACTTTAGTTGGAGCGGAATCGTCGTATCTTTTTAGGGGCATTTCATGGTGTTTCTTGGTTACAGAATCGTCTTCTTGTAGTTATGTATAGTTGGTTGGAGGGTAGTGTAGATCCGGATTTATTTATGTTTCTCGATTTCTTAGATGAGGTGATGGGTTCGCCCTTGTTTTATTGGTTTCCCCAATTTGGGGTGGTTTTCTTGTATTGGTTACATCATCTTGATGCTTTCTTAATAATAATTGCTTATTTATCCCAGAAAAAAAAAAATAAAAAAATTGTATAGAACTACAATATTTTTTGTAGAGGAGGATATTGAATGTGGTATGTACAGCTGATGGTTTTAGAGAGAAAGGGGACCAAGAAATTGGGTGCAGTTTTGTTGCGGACAATGCTCAAATGATCATCTTCTCTCTGCCTTTTTTATGATTCTACCTTTTGAGCTCGAGCGAGTCTATATACAAATAAAATATGAGAAAAGATAGTAAGAGTACACACTCTATGAGAGTAAAAATTATCTGGTAAGCATAGTCTTGTGTTCATTTCATTTAATAGCATATGATCATATGAGAAGAGTTAAATTCCATCCTTGTTGGAAAATACGAGATTAGTTCAGATAGGCTGAAATGAATAGTGATGTTTGACCTAATAACATAGGTATATGAAAGAAGCATCAAATGTACTTTGTTCAAACAGGGGGCCGAAATGGATTCAAGGATAATTGAAAACACCATGCAAGTAGTCGTGAGAGGTTCTTTGTGAATTGCATTGTTCTTTGTGAATTGCATTGTTCTTTGTGAAAAGCTCAACTTCTAGGCATTGCCACAGAAAAAAAGAAAAAAGAAGTCATTATAGAAACATGTTTTGTTTGAGATTTTCAATAAGATGTCTATGACATAGAAAAAAGATCTCAATGGACCCCTTGACATGCACAATTTTATACATTATCCGACACGATGGATTCAATATGGATGATCAATTATTTTTTCTGTCGTGTGATTTGCCTATTAAGGAACAATTATTTGTTTCAATATCGGAAGCAATTAGTAGTATCACTACATTTTTATTGGGGTGAATGAGCTAGTAGTTTTGTGGTTCTGCTGTTTTAGCCACTTTCCGGTGTGCATTGATTGTGATTCTCTCTCTTTTGAAAGAATTAGGAAGCATTTAGTGCCATGTAAAACAAGCGGATTGTTGCTTTTTAAAGATGCATTTCCTTGCGGTTTTTTCAGAGAATGCCTTGTTTCTTTTAGATAGTGATTATTATTTTTTCAAAATAACACTTGTAGGGCGTCAATATCGAATTGTTTCATTTGGATGTGGTATCTGCACCTCCCCTTTAATATCTGCTATTCATTTTCTAAATAACAATTCTTGTTTTGTTCTTGTGCTAAGCCACTTAATGCGAATTTGAAACTATACTTATTGTGGTGTTTAATCATATCCAGAATACTGTGAGAAATATGCCAAAGCAGAAGATGTTGGAGCTGCTGCCCCGGAAGAGAAATCGAGCGATGATGAGGAGCTGAGCGAAGACGAATACGATTCGAGTGATGAGGCTATGGCGGGGCCAGTGGATCCATAGCCTCTATCTATGCTTCTCAAGTGTCTGTATCTGTACATGATGTTTAAGTTTTCGTACTCGAACTCTATAGAAAGAGACTATTTATTGGTGAGGGATGAAAATAAATCTCTCTGCCTCTGTCCTTAGTTTTCTTTTCTTTGCTGCTGTAAATAAATGAATTGTTGGTTTATGTTGTTGAAATCAATTGTTGGTTGTTTGTCTTTGAAACTTGTGTGACGAACATGGTTTGTGGTTATTTTGACATTTTCAGCATAGTTGCAGCATGGCAGGATGTTGTCATAGGTTGTGTTTAGATTATGGATTTGTATAGGGTTTGTAAAAGGAAAAGAAAAGGCTAGAGAAATTGAAAAAAAAAAAAAAATTATATTTTATTCACATTTTTAAAATTTTCAAATCCTTATCTAAATTTTTCATTTAAACAGTCTTATCGCCGCTGTTTGGGAAGCATAGGTTGGGGCTATTATAGCCTCAAAATGGAAATAAGCCAAAAAGCCTATTGTAGCAAACTTTTTTATTAAAAAAAAAAAAAAAATAGTCTCGTATAGGGCTAGCCTACACTGTCAAAGTGTCAAATTTCTACATCACTTGAGAAATTACATTTTTACCCCTTCACATCAATTTAAAAAATTATAATTTTAGGAGTAAATTTGTCATTTTAACTTCAAACATCATTTCAACATACTTTTCAATACAACAACTCAGAAAAATTCATCACATCTTCCCAAACACAAAAACTAAAATAGACTACTAAAATAACCAAAAAACCTCTAAAATAACCATTCCCAAACGAGGCCATCGACTATATATGTTGAACAAGTCGCTTCTCCAATATGGTATGGGGACATCCCACCTCCACCTTGTGCTCTTGCTTCAAATACCATATAAGTCGTGCGGTCCAATCCCCACTTGGACATAGTATTTGTTATAGTCCAGTCTAACAGCCTAAAGCTTGTCTTTTGGGGTTCTAAGCCGAAAAAGTGCTTCTATCCTCAAGTTCCTTTTTTTGGGTTCTAAGCCGAAAAAATGCCTCCAATATACAAGTGTCAATTGGATTGAGTTCAAAACAAAATGTGTAGAGCATGGCATGTGCGACAGAGACAAGTCATCTAGTGGTCCAACCCCAAGTAAGGCGCACCCGACCAATTTCCAACGCCTCTTTTAACTCTTTTTTGGTGTCTTTTGTATCGAATCTTTGGCGAATTGCTCCATCCGGTCATGTCATTGCTACTTGATCGTAGATCACCCTCACTTCTAAAATACTAGTGTCATATATCATCTTATTAGTTCACTCTTATAGGGCAGTGGTGTAGAATGTTACTAGATGATGAGTGGCAGATCCACATCACCCCTGCTTTGTGTTGATTTCTACTGTTTTATCAACACACTGTAAAACTTCACTATATGTAGACACAAGTGTCCGTCTGTGATTGGTTGGGATCAAAATCTTTGTCCATCCAGTAAAGTCCTCCCACTTAATTTCTTCTCAAAAAAAAGAGCGCTTGTTCAAGTCACATTAATCAATCATTTTGCTATTAAAAAAAAAAATTATAAAGACCATATATGACCTCTCAAACCATGTTGTAAAACGGTTCATCGGTGTTTTTCTTTCTTTTTTTTTTTTTTTTTTTTTGCGAGCTTTTTACAGATAGAGAGTTCAAGCCTATTAAACTTAAAACCTCAGACAAAGTAGCGCTTGCCAAGCACACCTATAAAACACTATCACAGTCCAAGTAGTAAAAGAGACGCAAGAAAAATGTATAGAGAGAGGCTTACACTACATTAACAAATATGAGCTTTCACTGCACTTCTACAAGCCTATAAAGGGCCGGCTACAAACTCGGCACCTTAAACCAATATCAACAAATATCTTCATAAATGGCTCGGCCGCCTTTTCCCAGCATCAGTTCTCAATCTCTTTACTGGATTCGCCCAACCAACTATCCCAACACCACCATTCACTGGCTGAGGAGACTGGTTAGCCCACCCTTGCTGAGGGGTCGATCTTGCAACTGAACCTCGACCCGGACTTTTACTATTACGATCAACACTAGGGGGTGATACAGGGCCAGCCGACCCGTTCCCTGGCTTTGCCACAGACTTTTCTCGGTCTTTCCTCTTCTTTTTGCAGATAACAAGTTCCCCCGGATGAGTCAACAATCGAGGATCATCCTGATCTCTGCTGTTTCCGATCCTCAATTCCTTTTGAGCGCTCCTAGTCATCCTTGTGTCTTCGCCGCTAGGAACAGGCACACGAGATAAGGGCTTCTGGGGAGGAGTTGGGTTGGGTTCTACCTCATTTATCAGTTTGTGTCGCTTGCTTGGGCCAGCATTTGCCTGTCTTGAAGATGGAGCAGAGGTAGAGGTACTCGCCAGGCCAGAGAAAGACAGCGTGTTTCTAGCTTCTCGGAAATCTGTGTCTGGGAATGCAATCTTTAGGTTATCGAAAAAGAGCTCATGCACTTTCCTTGCTTCAGATCTCACCTGTTCATTGTAATTGTACAGTTCCTTAAAAACTTAAAGAAAAAAAAATCATAAAATTGAGTGAGATAGAGAGAGAAGGATGCAACTCTTGTAACTACTTCAAATAACCCAAGGAGTTGTCCTCAAAAAAACATCAATCAATTGCCAAGAGACAGAAGGGAATTCTAAATTTACATTCTTACCAGTGAAGTCCATAAGATATATCTTAAATATTTTTTTTTGACGTATATAAGATATATCTTAAATATAACTACCAGATAAAAAGATCATCCTGGTTAGGTTCAATAAGAAAATGGCTGGTTTTAAAAATCAACTTCAGGGAATGACTTCTAATTTCACAAGCTGTTATTGTTAAAAACATACAAGCTGTTATTGTTAAAAACATACATGTACTATTTATTTCTTACCAACCATACACGCTCAAATCTCGGAGGGTATTCTAGACCTATATTAATACAAAAACAATTCTTCACACTAACATGAACTTGGATTTTAGTATGTGACATGCTAGTACAGAAACAATTCTGCACGCCAACATGAAGTTGGATTTTAGTACGTGACATGCTTTGAAGCCCATGATTTACAGTTACAAAAGCCAAAATTTATGGCCTAGATACACAGCAGCAAAAATGACATGTAAGACAAGAAACTCTAAATAAACGCAGTGCTCTTAAATTGTCTGCTTGCAAAAAGGACAAGGAAGCTTTATAAAGTTAAGACAACACAAGAATATGCATTTTGGATGACTCGACCAAAAAACAACTATGTAACAAAATGAAGCATGAACTTTATGGCACACGTTTCAAAAAAAAAAAAAAAAAAACTTAATGGCACATAACAATTGTTCCATAATACAGTTATGCACATCTGGACCCTTTTTTTAACACTACAAATTAGTATTAGTCTATAAAGCATGGACACCTCTTCGGAGGTCGCGTACAGGTGTCTGACACATGTCAAACACGAACACGTGCCAGACACGTGTCAGATACGCTGGGAAGAGTTGGACAAGCTAGCTACGACACTTGGACACACTGCGGACACGCAAAGGACACGTTGAGAATATGTTAGAAACACACTGAGTACTATTTTTTTCAAAAAAAAATTAAAATTTTTAATATATTTTACTAAAATAGCATACCTAAGGTTGATAAATTTGATAAAATAAAATATTTGACAAAAAATGCATATTAAATATTTAAAAATATACATATAATAAAAATATAAAAATATAGCCTCCCTTGGGTTCTCTTTTGGAATTATGATTCCAATAAAAAAATTTCAAAATTCAAAACTAAACTCTTTTCGAAACTCTATTTAAAAAATAAAAAAAATATATATTTTTTTTTAATTTGTTTTTTTACATTATTTTTAGAATCATGATTTGAGTGTGGAGTCGTGTTTTGAGTTATGAGTTTTGAGTTGAGTTTTAAAAAGAAAAAATTTGTTTGGTTATGAGTTTTGAAAAAAAATTTGAGTTGTATTTTGAAATTTTTTGGATTTGTTTTTTTTAAAATATTTAAAAATTATCTTAATTTTATTTTTTTAGGATAAATATTTTATATTTTGAATATTTATTTATTTATTTTAATGTGCACTATATTTTATACATTTTTGTGATGTATTTTTTTCAAATATTTCAAATATTAAAATTTTATAAAATTTATTATTTTATTTTAAATATTTTAATTTTTTTGTTATATGTTTGATTACAATTTGAGTGTGGACTTTTGAAAGTAGTGTATAGTTTCGAGTTATGTGTTTGATTATAAGTTTTGAAAATAATTTTTGAATTAAGTTTTAAATTATGTGTTTGATTACGATTTGAGTGTGGAGTTGTGTTTTGAGTTTAAAAAATTAAAATATTTACACAATTAAATAAAATATTTAAAAATTAAAAAAAAAATTTCTTAAAACATTTTTTTAATATTTTAAAAAAATAAATCCAATTTTTTTTTTCAAAATTCAAAAACTCAAAACTCAAAATACAATTCAAAACTCTTTTCGAAACACAACTCTTTTCAAAATTCAAAAACTCAAAACTCAAAATACAATTCAAAACTCTTTTCAACTCAACTCTTTTCAAAATTCAAGAACTCTTTTCAAAATACTTTTCAAAACTCATAACCAAATAAATTTTCTTTTTTCAAAACTTAACTCACAATTCCACATTTAAATCACAATTCCACACTCAAAATCATAATTTCAAAACTAAACCAAACCGAGCCATATGTTTTGAACGTGTCCCTAACGTGTCGTGTCCTGCATTTTTTGAGAATTTACGTGTCCGCATGTCCATGTCGTGTCACATGGCCGTGTCCGTGCTTCTTAGGTATTAGTTCCAGGTATGAATTCCTAAAAAAGTGTCACGCAAGCTGACAACCTTAGATGCCAACAAATATTCTAGATATCTTGGGTGTAAAGATTGTAAGCTGTATTTTCTACTTCCCCTAGTGTACCTGTGCCCACTGAATATGGCACGGGTAAGGATTGTGAGATGTGTACGACACCCGTACTCAATTTAGGCACTTGGATCCTCTAATTTAAATGATGTTTAAAGAAGAAGATGGTCACATTTGCAAGTAAACAAAACATTTCTAGCTTCTCACACAAACGGGAGATATAAATTCTATATTTTTCCCAAATCCCATTTAATTTTATGGCATTTCTAAATAATTTATAACATTTTATCCAAGAAACTCATGCAATATGCAATTTATGCAAGTGTTCAAGATGCGTCCCCATACACTACCCAATTTTTCAATGCACATCTCAATATCCTAAGATTTAAGTTTATGAAGATTTGACCCTTGGACATGCATTCCCAAGCCTATGTAACATAGGTTGTAACACAAAAAAACATTCTGAAGGAAAGAAGCAACGTAATCTTGAGCCAGGAAGTACAAATTAACATAAGCAAACATACCTCATGCGAGAACCCAAAATACTGCATTGCACTCTTTAACATAAACTGCACATCAAACACAAGGTCCATCACTCCGCTATACTCAAATCTCTCAACACGCTGATCAATCTTTCGCAAATCCAAAATACTATTTGCGGCCATACTCAGGGAACCAGAATTTTCAATCCTCTTCCACAAATCTGTTAGCAAAGGTACAATTTGATGACCTTCCTTATCTATTCTCTTTTGGAGCTTGCTAATTACATTCTTGCACTGAAAATATGAAGAGTTTCATGTTATTTCATGATAAACTTTTATAGGCAACAGAAACAAATTATGAAATGCGAAGATAGAAGTAAAAGAAAGGAAAGAAGCTATAGAGAAGATCTGGTTTGCAAAGATTGCTCATATCTACTATCAAACCAGACAGACAAACTTTTAGATACTGATGTTTAAGAGGGAACTATTTATGAAAAATCCTCATAACATAGCCCAATTGTCACACTTGAATACTCATCTTACAAAATCTTCTTCTGTAGACAATGTTGCATTTATCAAGATAATATTCAAGCTTATTTATAATTAAAAAAATATGTGAAACATAGTGCTGAGTACATATATTTTTTAAATAAAAAAGTAAGATGTCACAGAGATAATAGGGAAAAACACACAAACGTCCTATAAGTGGTGGTGACATCATTACATTATTGGTAGGATTAGGAATCACTCCGACTACACCTATATTTAAAATTTTTGTCCTCCTCCATACTTGGAGAACCCTGACGTTTAAAAAGTCCAAAGCAAAGCATTGAATGAGAAGTACCAACCTCATTACATATGCTTGGGAGCTCACAAACATTCTTATATCCACATCATTCAACATTAATTCCAAGAAACAATTTCACATGGAAAACACCCCACCCTCCCAGAAAAAAGGTGAAGGAAACAGAAAACCGAACAACAAACAAACAAATAGCTCCATAAATACAAAACATCAAGCTTCATTTAACAGAAAGAACAAAAATGCCGCCTCATGTCTTAAAAAAAATCCATATACAAGAAAGGCAATTGGAAAAGTGACTTGGTGACCAATGGTTGGCAAAAGACAAACAGATTTGGCACCAATTGTCAGAGCGATAGTTAGGTAAGAACAACGAAGTACTAGAACATGAAAGACAAGCCATACTTGAGCAAACCAATTCAAATCCCAATTTAACCCCCACCCCACCCCACCCCTCTTCTTTCTTGATAATATCAGCAGATGCCATATAAAAAAGCAAAGAACTAATAACAAAAAAAAATTTAGAAGTTCCAATTATTTATCACTACGTAATTTAGAACTGCAACACCACAGAAACATAGGGGCATCCAGTAATGCATACCCTTCTTTGAATAACATCAGATATCTTCCTGCCACCAATTGAAGTCCCACTAGTGTTCATAACTTTACCATCCCAACTTTCCCTAGACTGTTCTGAGGGAGCAGATATGGAATTCAATCTGCTAGGTTTTGGTGAAGCATGTACCTTTGATGTATTTGCAATTTTCCTCGAAGGTAAATTTCGCTTATTTTTCAAGGATGAATCACATTGATCATGCTTATAAGCATTGGACTCTCCCGGTGTTTTGGGTTCAGAGTCATTCTTAAACTGCTGTTCATATCTATGGTCCACTTGGAATAGCAACTGAGAAGAATCTCCACGAAGGAGAGATGGTTTTTCATTGGGGTACTTCTCTTCTGGCTTTTCAACTGTATAACGTGGACGACCCCGAATACTACGTTTCCGTTTTATTTTGGGCTGCAAAACCTGTTCATCTTCACCTTCATCACGATCTTGAATCCAACTTCCAGATTGCTGGAGGTCCACATGAGAGTCTCCTGACGCAGCGATTTCACCTTCCTCTAACTCATCAGCCTGAGAGCATTTATTGGAAGAAATTTAATCAGCTGGCACAAAACCAATGATTCCAACAATAAAGCATTACTATACCATGAAATGAAACATACCAGTCTTTTTGAAAGAGAACTTGGTCTGGCATCTAATGCAGAAAGTGATCCAAACTTCTGAGAAGATATAGTAGGCGAGACTTTCAATTTTTGATTCTCCAAGGATGATCCTGACGAACCAGCTTCTTCAATTACCCGATCATTTCTACTGCTTTCGAAAGCTCGAGGATACTCGTATGCACTAGCGCAAACCAGACCACCTTCTTCTGATTGATTTTTATTAACTAGAGGTGCCCCAATAGCACCATTAAATTCATCCTCAAACTCGCCAATTTCTCCCTCTTCTTCCTGTGGGCAGAATAGCTATTCCTCTCTTCAGAACTAGCTTCAGAGAACTCCCCACTTTCTTCATCCACCTCCCTGTAAATAGGGAACTTTTTCCCCTTGGGGCGCCCCCTCTTTTTCTGAGTCAAATCAGGAGCCATTTCATTTGATTCCATGCTAATACCACCTAGTAAGGTGTTCTTTAATGGCTTCTTTGACAAAGCAGCAATAGTAGCATTCACTTCTCTAGTGCTAGCTCGAAGCCACTTAGGTACTTGGTCATATCTCGTCATCTCATCAATCCAGTCAAGTTCTTCATCCATTTGATCAAAGAGCTCTACTTCTTCTTCACTTCTAGAAATCATGCGATTTACTTGCTGTAGTGAGGGGACATCATGAACAGTTTCTTGATACCTTTCCTCATCATGCAACAATGTCTCCAGAGTCATACGCCTCTCTTCATGAGTTGTCCTCTGGTCAAAACGCCCAGCATTAATAACCTCATCAGCCATGTCAATCTTATACTGTTGGATGTTATTCCGTATGAGGCTCTCAATAGATCCCACATATCGATCCTTACCCGCAAGATCATCTTCTGAATCAACTACTCCACCACTTCTAAATTCATCCTCTTTCTGATTGCTTGAGATTTTGTCAACCACTGCTTCCATGTATATAACTTTCACTTCTCTCTTCTGGCCAATGCGGTGGGCTCTAGCAACTGCCTGTTCCTCATTTTTTGGGTTTGGATCGGGATCATATATGATGACTGTGTCAGCAGACTGAAGATTTAAACCCCGTCCAGCAGCACGAATGCTAAGCAAGAAGATGAAGCAGTCCGTATCAGGGCTATTAAAGTCCACAATAGCTGATTCACGGTCTTCTAAGCTAGTTGTCCCATCAATTCGTCTGTAAACAAGTCGCCGCCACTGCAGATATTCCTCCATTATATCTAGAAGTTTTGTCATTGTACTAAAGAGCAGTACTCGATGCCCTGTTCTGTGAAGCTTTATGAGGACCCTATCAAGAACCCACAATTTCCCACATGATCTAACAAGGAAGTCCTTGGAGAGGTCATTAAAATAAGGGTAATTAAGCAAAGGATGATTGCAAGCCTTCCGGAGCTCCATGCATCTATTATTTAAAGGTTTGTATGTTTTAGCCTGGTAAACTGAACTTCTTTGAGCCCTGAGCTTCTCATCTTCAGGATCAACTTGAATAGTACCGGTAGATTTAATCCAATCATAAATGGAACTCTGAATAGCCGACATCCTACATTTTAAAACGATGGATATCTACAACCAAATACACTGTTAGAAACAATCCGCATTAAAAGACTTACTAGCCAAGGCCTGCCTTTTTACTAGTCCAAAAAAAATGAATTGACTGCCGAGGACATGCTACAATATCATACCTTGGGAGGAAGTGACCCTTCGACATCTTCTACACGAACACGACGTCGGAGCATAAAGGGCTCCAAAATTTGATGAAGTCGATGGATAATGATAACCTTCTTCTCCGTCTCAAGCCAGTCATCCTCTGCATTATGTGTGGGAGCTTCCTTTTGAAAAGGTCTTGAAAACCAATCATGAAATGCTTTCCGGTTATCAAAAACTTCAGGAAGGAGTAGATTTAGAAGCGACCAAAGTTCTTTGAGATCATTCTGCAGAAAAAAGAGGGGAAAATATCATGCTTAATTCAACTCGAAATTAATTAAATAGGAGAAAAAAGGAAAAATAAGAAAAAGGAAAAGAAAAAAAAAAAATCACCATCTATCCACATATTTCTATGCTCAATTTCTCAATAGTAAGAATATGCTTTCTTTTCTAATCAAACAATTCCCTCGGCAGAACTTAATCTCAGGATCGCATTAGGAATATCATGAGTAGATCAGTTTGACTGCTAAGTTTGCGTTAGCTCACTACGAATTTATTGAGCTTAGGTGTATTTTACATCAGCATGGTTGTACACGACACAGTTATCAATTTTACAAAATTAATATCAAAGCACATATAGTGCATCTTATGAACATTATGGAGGACTATCTCAGCATTCTTTGCAGTTACTCCAATAAAAATAATTAATAGGATCTTCAAGACAAAACTAGATTAATGACACAAAAGAAGGTTAAATCTATATATCCCGAGGCCAGAGCCCAATTTAGCTCCCCAAAAATTCATTAGATAGTTTAGCAAAGGAAAGACAATCAAGCTCAACACGTTATAAACCTATACCAAATTGCTAAGAAAATTGGGAGGGGAAATAAGGATAATCCAAGAAGCTTGTAAGCTCGTATATCAAATCTAACATACATTACAGGTTAGATGAATTAGTTGGACTATTGAAAGCAATATACACACATGCACGTTTTTCTTTTAAATTGATACAATGCAGCTGCGTATGCATAGTTCTCTTGACAAACCTGTAAAGGGGTTCCTGTGAGAAGTAGGCGCCTCTGGCAGCGATATCTATCAAGATCTCGAGCTAGAACTGATTCCCTGTCCTTCATGCGTTGCGCTTCATCAATTATGATATACTTCCAATCAACTTTTGAAAGCTTTGAACGGTCATACATGATGAACTCATAAGTTGTCACAAGGACATTAAATTTCAAGGCAGAAACATCCTAGACAACACACAAAGAAAAGAAACTCAGCAACAAATCAAAAGCTCAATTAATCAAAGTAAATAGCTCTGCAAATCTTACTTGAGAAAACAATTTTGCCCGTTGATCCTTCGCACCAACATAAAAAATGCAGGATGCAGATGGCAACCAATTATGGAACTCACTCTGGAAAATTAAATGCATCAGTCATGCTTAAAAGTGTGGGAATAATCACTGGTAACTAAAAATAAAATTATTAAAATATCAAGTAACCTTCCAGTTCACCAAAACGGCATTAGGAACAATAATAAGATGTGGGCCATAGTTTCCTTTGAACTCCATCAGATAAGCAATCAATGCCATCACCTAACAGGCAAAGAAAAAACCAATTCTATGAAACGTTATGTTATTTACTAAGAGGCATCACGCAGTAAAAAGGTGTATCAGTAAGTCCCTTCTAGTATAGGACTTGCCCCTTGCTAATTATCAGAACTAATAAAACTTCCATATACGAATAACAGCCCATATATAAGTTGCTTGCAAGCAAAAATACAAAATTGGGCCTCTGTTTTGTCTTGGTGGGGGGTGGCAGGAGGCAAAAAACTAAACCACCAGATACTAAAGAGAGATTCACCTGTACAGTCTTCCCAAGACCCATCTCATCTGCCAAAATTCCATTTAATTTGTTGTTATACAAAGAGAGCATCCATTGCAATCCAACCTGCAAGGTTCAGCAAATAAAAATATCTAAAAATTCCCAATTTAGATAAATATAAATATTAAATAGTAACATACAAGTTGATAGTCTCTTAAGGTTCCAGCCCGTAGCATTGAGGGCTGCCTCATAACCCTTTCATTCACAGCATGTGCAAGATTGTAATACCTGTTGACAATCATGAAAAATAAAACAAACTAAGAACACAATGAAGATATGCATGTAGGGTATGTCTTTGACCTAAATTGAACAAAAATATAAAGTCAAAATTCAGTAACACTCATAGTGACTTATCCAATTGTGACTATACAAAATACTTAATATGAGAACAGTTACTTGTATACACTATGCAAAATTGGCATTTATAACTATAATAAAACTTCCACCTGCAGAGCCAACAATCCCAACATACTCTCGCTTTAACCTGCTCACAGTATCTTCCAGAATAATGAAATTAAATTCATCAAATCAGATGATAGCAAACTCACTTGTTAACAGATGAATTATCCTTGGGTGCATTCATTTCAGAGAAACGATTTCTTATCATTACTTCCTCACCAGCACAAGCAGCTGCCACTCTTATTTCTTCATCAGAGAGACCCTTTTATCAACAAATCAAAACAAATTAATGAAAGCACCGAAATGCACCAAAGGTTGTGAGAAACTTAACTGGATGACGTTGTTTTGTGATTAACTGGATTACGAAGTTAAATTATATGTTAAGAAAACAAAAAAATGAGCATATCACAGAGAGAAAAAGCATGCCTGAACTCGTGCCGCAGCAGCAGCAGCATTAGCTGCTTCCTCAACCTCCTGGTGATTCTTTGCGGCTGTTATTTTACCTCCTAGTTTATGAAGATACTCTTCTGTCTGTGTTAAGAATGATGAGAGAACAGCATATCTCTCAGCAGCATCACCAGGGACGCCAGTCTGCTGCTCCAGTAACATTTCCCTATACCGCTCAACATCATTATTCTTCAATGCTTCCATCCTTTTGTTGCGATCATCATCCTTTTTTTTTGAGAACTCCCTCAACATTCTCTCATGGTATTTTGCAACTCCCCTGTTACGGGCAGTTCGTGCATCACGGATGGCCCAATGAGCCTCGAGAAGCTTCTTACGCCACTGAAAAATAGATTTCAGCTGTTTCTCTCTTGTGGCTTTCTGAGAGGCCTGCACTTGCCTAGTGAGCTCCATGCGCTGACGCTCGCAAAGCCGAACAAATTTCCGATATGGCCTGTCAGGCATTGCCATTATCTCCTGCTGCTGTTGATCGACTTCATCCCTCAAGCGTGCCTGAAGATCCAAAAGTCTAAGTTTCCTCTCTTCAATTTGTAGACGCAAAACAAGATCTGGCCTGATCCTTTTCCTCTCTAAGTTCACTGCTAGTAAACCACCAATCTTCTTTAAATTTTTCGCCCTTTTCTTGCTAAGCATTTCCACGCCTTCCTCAAGAAGTAGATCCTTGGCATCATATGCCAATATCAAATTATTGTTCATCAGAACTGCAGACCCAAAGGAGTCATGTTTACGAGTGAAAAAGGGAAAATCAAATAATGGCCCATGATACTTTCTGGTAGAGCCAACATCTTTTGGCTGAGGTGCATTGCTTGCTTGTACAGGTTTCTTAGCTTGCACTGTATCAGATACAGAAACCTGTGGTGCAACTGAATTTCCCGTATCTAGTGTAAAATCACTTCTAGCAGGAGTTTTCTGGTTTCTACGGTCAATTTCCTGTTCCGGTTTAATGAAAACTAGGGCAGTCTGCTGCTCTTCCTTTCCAGAAGGGAGCACTGGTACAGGTTCTTTTGTCACAGCTGTCATGCCTTGTGAATTAACTGCCAACGCATTTGCTTTCTCATCTCCTGCAACAGCTTCCTCTTTTAAATTCTTCAGTCCACTAGACGATGCCACAACCTGAGGATCCTTCTTACCAGACTCTGATTGTCTTGCATGGTCTTCTGCATATTTCCCAGCAGGTCTATCCTGATTAGTAATTCCAGTAGGAAGAAGTTGCAGCTGCATATCAAGGGGCGGTGGAGCAATGGCTTGAAGTAGTTCTTGTGGAAGAGTTGCTTCTCCTTTCTGTCAATACACCGAAAAGAAAGGATTCCCTTCAACATTTGTGCAGCAAGTCCAAGGAACTTTATGAATCCTTAGAACAAGTAATAAGGTAGCTAATGCACAAGTGTGTGCGCGGATGGATAGGCAGGGCAGGGTAGAGTATGCAAACCATCAGATGTCTGAATTCCAATAGTTGTGTTTCAAAAACATGCAGTTGCTGTTTGGTAAATCAAGTATTATGTTGCTGTATCTGGGGCACCACTCCAGATACAACATGAGTGAGTGGATATGAAGCATGGATGCTTCTAAAAGGGAGTCATCCCTATCGTACACATCGGATACTGATACTTCTCAGATACTCTCAAACACATATCCCACACTTCTCGGATACATATCCGATACTTCCTAAATGTATCCAATACTTGATGTCAATTTTTTAGAAGTATCAGATACTTTATGGATGCTCTAGGTCACATATCCAAACTATTACAAAATTGAAATTGTAGTCATTTTTACATATTCTTAGTGCATAATTGTTAGAATATATAAAAGAATAGTTTTTCAATATTTTCTTATTTCTTACCAAAGAAGAAAACAGTGAGATCAAAATAGTACTCTACTTTTTCAAATTCTATCAAATTAGCTTATCCACTAAAAAGATAAATAAATATATAAATAAATTGACTATTGGCTCTTAAATTAACATCTAATACCTAAATAATGGTTTCTCACTATTCTTTGAGTAAATGTATAATAATATAATGCTAAAAATTATGTGAAAAAAATTTCATATAACTAAATTTTGTCATATCCATTTTTTCAGATTTTGTGGTATCACTATATCCGTATATCATATTGAGCCATTATGTATTCCATATCCTATCCATGCTTCATAGGTGAGTGGTAAGTCCAAGGAACTTTATGAGTTTTTTAGAATTAGTAATATAAGGTAGTGATTGCATGAGTAAGTGTGTGCATGGATGGATAGGTGAGGCAGGGTACAGTTTGCGAACCTTTATACGTCTGAATGCCAGTATTTGTACTTTAAGTACATGAAGTTGCTGTTTGGTAAATCCTGTACGATGTTGTATCTGAGGCACCATTCCACCCTGAGCTGATATGGGATTTCCCAAGCCTCCATCAATAGATGAAGCTGCAGGTTGTGGAGAAGATCGGTTCAATTGCCTAGCATATTGCATTTGCAAAGCTTCTGCACCAGTTAATGAGCTTTTTGTATGGGATGAGTTATCCATGCCCTGGTTCAAGTTCACAGATGACTGCGGGGGATGCATGGGAGGCACTCCATTACCAACCATCATTGTCTGTCTTGGAGGCGCATGGTTCTCTCTTCCGTGAGCAGGAAACTGCTGCACCAACACGTTGTTAGCATTGTTGAGTGTCGCAGCATTTGAAGTTGTGCCAAAAGGGCCAGGTGCAACTATCTGCCTAGCTTTAGAGGGGCCCAACTGTCCAGACACATCACTCGATGAATTTCCATGGGGAGAACTCTCACTTGCAACTTGAGGAGAAGCAACCTGTTGCTTTGGCATCGAGACAGGTGATGAAGACTGTGCACCCATATTGTTTTCATTTGCCTTCTGCTATGCAAGCACCCTAGGCTGCATGAGCGGTGACAAATGTGTCATGTAGGGACAGACGGTACGTAAATAGGACACGTACGTTGGGAGTTGGGGTTGAAAATGTCATAAACTTAGTCGAAAAAAAGGGTTTGGGGGCCGAAAATGCAAAACAACCCCCGAACCACTGTTTTTTCATAACGGGAAGCTTCCCGGTGTTAAATGTGACATGTAGGGACAAACGATACGTAAGTAGGACAAGTACGTTGGGAGTTAGAGTTGAAAATGTCATAAACTTAGTCGAAAAAAGGGGTTTGAGGGCCGAAAATGCAAAACAAGCCTCGAACCACTGTTTTTTCATAACGGGAAGCTTCCCGGTGTTAAATGTGACATGTAGGGACAAACGATACGTAAGTAGGACAAGTACGTTGGGAGTTAGAGTTGAAAATGTCATAAACTTAGTCGAAAAAAGGGGTTCGGGGGGCACCATTTTGCAAGAACTAAATGTGACGAAGGATATATCCTGTTGACCTAATCGTTTGGAAATTCGAACAATGGATTTGTAAAGTTCAGCTAAGGTTTAGGCGCAATTGTGTATTTGATAAGTTTAACTATCACCACTACAAAATGTGCAACAACAGTTGAACAATAGACAGTTCATATATATAACATGGCCTCAAGATTTGGATGATGGGAGGATAATTCCTCAGCAACAGAACAGGGAACTTAGGACTAAAGAAGCTAAGTATTGAAGATACGTATCAAAATTAGATGGTGTTATGAAAGAATAGGTAAGCATAATCTTATATAGCTCTTGTCCCCATAAGCCTATAAAGAACCCAAGGCATTACTCATTCACAAACAGAAGCATATCTACATCTATAAACCCACTAATTAGTTAAATATAAATGAACAGTATTATGAATTCATTACATTGTTGACTTAGTTTCTTCTTTAAGGAAAGCGTTTCCAAAATTTCAATGATTATAT